TCACTAGTGGCTGCAACTTAGTCATCGTCCAATTCATTTGGTTGGTTGGCCAGAGTGAAGTCGGTCAATGTTGAGTGAAAAGCCCTTGTTTAATCCAATTTCGACGCGCTTTTTCGTAACCAACCAACATATTCATCTGTGAGCCTCAGCACTTTTCTACGAGTTGACTAAACTCTGCCAATTATTCAGCTAACAAAAGTTCTTCACCTCTACGATAACGGAAATACTTTTTTTCCATTGAAACATGTTTCAGACACCCTGCGCGTTGAAGGGGGCCTGTCGTAGATCCACCAACTCCTTCGCTCTTCGAGACATCATAAGCCCCTGTCTTAACTCTCTTCCCTCTATTTACCTGGGATTAGAGCTTTTTTATTTACTTGTGTACTTGCCGTTCACCTGCACCCAAATTCAACTTTCTTTGCCTGCAACGGCAGTCACTGGGCCAAAGGGACTAGCATTAGAAGCCGCTTGCTGTGTAGCGTTCAGGGCAGCTGCAGCAGCATTATATCCTAGCACCTGTAGGTTTTTGCCACCACCAAGCCCGGTTGTCTGATTGTAGCTCCCGCCCGACCTGTGGCGCCTGAGTAAGTTGAAGTCGCTTACCTTCTTCGACACACCGGCCTACGCCCATTTGGTGAAGGAGATCCAGGGTGGCGAGGACCCCTCCCAAGCCCAGCAACACCGCCACCCTCACCCGCCCAAAACCGAATCCGCCACCGTCGTTCCGATGCTCAACACGAAGGCCGTTCTTGACTACCTCAAGTCCCTGCCACGCAGGTAAATCCCACTTTGTTCGCGATTGTCTCAGGGGAGCAAAAAGGTATAGGCTAGATGAGCACAGGTCGGTGGGTTCAAATCGATCTCCTAGTGATTTGTGTAAATACCACCTGAGTAGCAGCAATGATTGGGTAACGGTCAGTGAAACATGCATGAAATTACGTGTACTTTTGAGTTGGATAAGTGAGTTGCAGTCGATGCGCGACACAAGAAAATCAATAACACAAAAGGGAAAGGGAATAGGCGAAATCCCTGAGATGTGGTTGCCGTGTTGGTGGAAGGAAGAGAGTCGAAGTATCCCCTGGTTACCATAGAAACGGGTTTCGCTACCAAACTACACCTTACTCAAAATTGACCTATCAAACGTGAGTGGGCAGTGAGGCAACTTTATTCTACCTTTTTTTCATATTTGGGGGGTTAGGTTATAGGCTTTTTGAGGCCTAGTGCTCATTTTCACTTGTCAGGGTTCAATTTACTTTGAATAAATCCTCTCAGCTGTCTTCATTTTGCTAACTTTTAGCTCGAAGCCGTACAACAAAGTCCGTCTGATTGTAATCGGAGCTCCCGATGTTGGAAAGTCCACATTCGTCGACGCCCTCCTTCGATGCGAAGGTCAAAAGGCAAAGGTGCGATTTGGCTTCCTGTCACGTTTTTTCCCCTTAACCAGAGACGCACACTCAGATAACCGGTACCCCACGCCAATGGCCTTTACAAGGGCCTGTTATTCGACCCGTTGAGGTGTTGACTTCCCAATGCCTTTCAGACCGCTTCCACCAGCGCTTCTTCTCAAGCCTCGGTAGTCAGCTTGAACGACCTCGTCGTTTCCAGAAAAGCTCCCTGCACTTCGTCAAAAGGTTGGACTGAGACGGTCAATTTCACAATTTGGGACTTCAACGTCTCCAACATGGAAACCACCGCAACTGCTGCTGCTTCCAAGGAAGTGGACGAGGTGACCATTGCGTCGGCGTTACAGCAATTCCACATGTCCAGAACCGCTGTCTACGTGGTCGTGTGGAGGGCGACTGACGGTCCAAGTGGGCTAGAGGTGGTTACCAAGCTCCTCGTAGATATTCAGGTAAAGCGTCAGCGATTCGTCATTTTGACTTTCCCCTGTGCTTGAGCTAGAGCAACACGAGTTCAAGTCGTCATATAAATTTTACATGAATTCTGTGTGTTTGCACTTTTTGGCTAATGCTCATCTTGAGTGAGCTTAGTAAAAGTGCATTGCTTGTTGCTGGGTGGATGCGCATCATGGGGCTTAAGTTGATTTTGATTTCCACATTTTAAGACCAGCCAATTTCGACTAATTGCAATTAATGTGCCGATGCCATTAAAGTCCTTACTTTGTAAGCTTTAGTCGACACGTATTTCTAATCGATCTAGGTTATCGATTTTTTCCTATCACAACATTTCTCTAATTGGTGGAGCTTAAGCTGCTCCCATTGGTTAAAGTCACGTCAGATTGCAATCGATTGAAAAACACTGGACAACTTATCTGCAATTTGAAGCGTCCGTCTAACGAATTGATGCAGCGATGTTAACTGAATGTATAATCATTTGAACTATTTAAAAATAACGCCTTGCAAACAAGGAAGAATTCCCTGGTAGTATTGATTACTTGGGTTACCCGTAGTGCCGAGCTCCGAACGCGCCTGTCTTCATCGTCGGCACTCACGCAGACAAGCTGGCCGCGGGCGAGACTCTGGAGGCGGCGGCGGCGGAGACAGGTGGGTGTCAGTGGACGATGAACGAGATCTCTGACCTCGTGGGGAGGTGTTTCTTCCGTTTCTCTGACCCCGTTGCCATGGGCATCCCCCAATTCCTCCGGGCGCACTTCATTCTGGACTGTCGCGATGAGCAGGCTGTTCTCCCTGTACTCACGGCTATCCACAAGGCTGCCAACTTCCTGAAGCCTCTCTGTAAGTTGACAATGCGCATTCCACCTACTGGGTTGGCAAGATTTCAAATTCGGTTTTTGAATCTCTCATTTCGGCATCCAAGTGCTCGTATCTTTGTTTGCAGGTGCTAGTCTGTGGTCGATTGTAAAATGGAGTGCGGGAATCAACCTTATTCCACACTTGTTCACCTCATTACAACCAAGAATCCTGCTGGGATTGACAAAGAAATGTTGTTGGTTGTTTGACACAAAACACGTGTTAGAAATCGGTTAAAAAACTGCAGCATGAAGACGTTTTATTCCGGTTTGATCATCGCTAAACAGACCAACCCACAGCATTCGCCGATGACTAAGTTGCAGCCACTATTTAATCGGATCATGGTCACATAACTGTGCGAGAGGGAGTGCAGAAGGGTCAAGTGTTTACCACACCACAGCCGATGAAAAGCACCCGAATTGTCGTGGATTTGTTAAGCAGATCCAGATGTGGGTTCAGTACGAATTTAAGGAAATTTACCCTATGACTAAGTAAAAATAAGGGTTAGAATTGGCAAATCTCGAAGGAATCGTGCTCCAAGAAGATAATGCTTGTTTCCTGGTAGCTCGTGCGTAATTATTGCTGATTGGCTGGAAGGAGACGTTGTACGTCTGCCAAATAGCGGTGCCAAGGACCATCGAAGTTCCATGAGCTCGGAGTATATTATGTTGGATAGTGGTTTTATGCCCTGTAGCGACACCTATCTTGCTTTCTTCCCAAACATGAGCTGTCCTTTACGCTTGAGTAAGCTGTTCCCGCTCCTGTGGTGTTACGATTGTCTGACTTTTTTGCAGTCTTTTACCTTTTCCACCAAGTCAATCAGCATCATCATACACACCGATCCTGTTTTACGCTATCCCAATCACTATGGTGCCCTGAACTACTGTTTACGCTGTTTAAACAAATGCCAGAGCAACCACCATCGAAAATCACTTTTTTTGAACGTACCATCGGTACTTACAAAGGGCCTTTGGTGTCCACTGATACGAAGCAGGCACTGAGCGCGTTGACATTGATCAGACAGCTTTCCGATTGGATGGTGGTGTGCCTTTACCGACTCCCCCACTACATCAGCCTCAGTGTAATTGTAAATGAAACAACCCAATCCCAATGACACTCTCTTGCAAGTCGAACGCGACTGTGTCATTTCCTCTCCTTCCTTCCTTCCTTTCTTGCCCAGTCCGCAATCCCCTGAGCACCAGGAAGCCCGATTCGCATCAGCGCCTTCTGAGCTACCCTGTGCCGCTCTTGTACCACGACTTGGAACACGTGACGCGGGACTTGGCCAGTGACCTCCACCAGTCCGGCATTCCGCCCATCATCAGTCTGGACGACTTCATGTAAGCCTGCACCTTATTCTCCACAAACACATGGAAGGATTCGCGGTTTCTTGACATTTAAAAGCCCACCAATCGCTCAATCTGGCGTGTGCAAGAGTAGCCCTGATAGTCAGTCTGGCAAAGCAAGTAAACTAGTTTCTTAGTTAAATGTCAGCTCTGGGTAGCTAGTTGTTAGTCCACCACAAACGCTAACACATACGTAGCGTTTGAGCGAATGTTCATCGCGAATCGCACCCCACCGCCCCCCCCTCCCAAAAAATCGCATTCAATCGTGCACATTTTTCTGGATGCTGAAGCAAAGTGAACGCTATAATAGCCTGAATCGAATGTGTGCGAACGGTATCTCCTAGATCCTACATTGCTTGCAAAAATCAGATTACTCTCGTATGTACGTCACTTGTGTGCTAAGTTCCACTCAAGCTGTGCACTGTTGGCCTCACCTTGACTTGACCAATAGATTGCGGCCCCCTTCTTTGGGCCAATCATGAGCATTCTAACGAAAAATGGTGTCAATTAGCTGCCCAAAACCGCGCTCCAACTATAACCAAGGAAAACTTATCGATGCCTTTCATTTGCCTTGTTCGGATTGTTGGTCTTTTGGAGGAAATTAATTTGACCTTGAGTTGGTTACTAGAGTGTGATGTTGTTCGACCCATTTGAGGATAAATCCGTTTCGCGGAACAATGACGATTTGAAAAAAAAAATGGAGAAATGCCGTCATGCGGAGACGTGTGATTTATTTAACCACTAATCTGACCTCCTTGAAAACTTAACCCCTGTGTGCTTTGTGACTTTCCTAGAGCCGAGGCAAACGCCCGACTTCAACAACTCAACTCCGCCGCCCAGACGAGTTCCCGTGGGGGGTTCGACTCCCCGACGGACGCCCGAGCGGCGGTCGCCTTCCTCCACGAGGCCGGTCACGTGCTCTACTTCTCCGGCGCGACCCTCCACCGCGCCATCGTCGTCGACCCGCCCTGGCTCTTCGGGCTGCTGGTGCGTCTGCTCGGCGGACACACCTCCGCGGCCACGGCCGAAGCCAAGCGGAAATCGCCCTTCCGCAAGGTCAAGCCGGATGCGGAGGTCGGCGCGGCGACACCTCTGCCGCCGCCGCCGCCACCCACACCTACCCCTCCCTACGCTAGAGCAGGTCATTTTTGATTGTGGTCGTCCCAACATCTTTCTTTATCTGAATTCCCCGTTTAATGATACATTACCCGTCTTTTAGCTAGCTTAGGTACCCTGTCAAAGTGTAGGAGGCACTACGAATCTGTATTCAGCGCGGCGAGTTGAACCGCTAGTTTTAGAGAGGACTTCTTGTAACCCCTGTTAGACGAACTGCACTGTGGCGCAAGGGTCCGAACACGTGGCCAGCCAGATGAACCAATCATGAGCATTCTAACAAAGACTGGTTAATTAACTAACCAGAACCGGACACTAACCGACGCGTTCATTTGAGTTGACAGCTTTGGCGTTCAAGATGCAGAGGACCTCATGGGGACATTGTCAGGAGAACTGCGCTGTGACGATAGCGTCCGAACGTGTGGCAGTACAGATGAACCATCCGGCCACGTATAGCCCCCGAATCGTCATATTTGTCTGAGTCTTCGCCACACGAGGCGGTGGACGTGACCACGTCCCAGACGATTTCCAAATTTGCGTCTAACCTTAGCTCAAGCCCAGATTGCTTTGGGAACCTCTTATGTTGTCAATTTACCTTACGTGTAAGGGGGTATTCTGACCACATTTGGACTGACAACGCTTTTTGTTCCCATTTAGGAGTCCTCAACTTGTCAAGATTGAAAGACCTGCTGACGGCCAATGAGGTGCCGCAGGAGGGACCGGTGCTCGAGCAGTTGATGGGCAAATTCCACCACTTGGAGGTCTCATTTGCCCTCACGTATTTGGTCGGTCTGTTGGCGAAGTTTGAGCTCGCCGTGCCGCTGGACTCACAGCACCTCCTCATCCCTGCTCTTCTTCCCTCAACGAAGAACACGCCTCTGTCGGATCCGAGTGGCCTCCAGTCCACCTCGCGACAGGTTGGTGACGGGAAGTGTGCCATTTGCTCATTCACTATCGTCTGCAGGTTCATAAATGACGGAGATCACATAAATTAGTGGCTAAGGTAATGCCTATTTGGAATTGGCTGCGACTGTGGAGAATTGTCGCATCCAAGTTGACCCACTGGTCTTGGCGGTCGACGTCCAAAATGGCTCCTAGATCTATTCACCGGTTTTGCACATTGATTCAGGCTTAGGCCTCCTCTGGATCTATACTGACCTCCTTAAGTAGTGTTCATCAACACGTCATCTACTTTGCTGATATCGGCATTTTGACGCACGCTCTGCTCAGAAATATTGCACACTCTTTGTTTCCTAATATCTTAGAAGCTGAATGTATAACAGTGTTAGAACGAGAAACTATCCTTTACTTCCAGCCTTGTTGGATTGACTTTCTACAAATTGCACATTTTTTTCCAACACCAACAGCTCTTCCTTAAGTGGGAATGTAGAGAAATGTGTGTTTCTGTCACAAGTTGAAAATTACGCCCACATCGAAATATGTACTGAACTTCTACATTATGCGATGTTGGGGGCTCCAACATGTGGTTCTGAACCACGTCGAGGCCTCTGTGTTGAATTGGTTTTTTACGCAATTCATGCCCGAGAAGACAAGTAGAGGACCAGAGACGACAGAACCGTGTACTAGGTAGCTCAACCTAGTTGTGTGCGCTCGCAGTAGTGCATGCCTAATGTACTTCTTGATCAATGATGTGGGGGAACTAGTCAACGTCAGAATGGCCAGAAGAGTTCAACAGAACTGGGTGGAGTAGTTGTGTGTCGCAGACTCCAGTGACCAGACGCTTGCCTGATGCCCGCGATGAAGGTAAGGGCCAGAGAGAATGTGGTCACAACCATTTACTTCAGAGCTCAACCACGTTGGTGTCGTTGTGTCGTGTGTGGAGTTTGCGCGTGTGTATTTATACCTCGGATGTGTGAGTCATACATGCGCTAACATCGAGACTTATGTATGGGGATATTCCAAGATAAATATCCGTATGAATGAAAGGGGAGTTGAGGATCCTCGCGGCTGGCAACATGCTGCGACAAGGGGAACCCTGTGTCGGAGGTGGAGCGACGTGATTAGGGGGTTGAATAAACAGGATTCACGACAGGGCCTCGTATTAGGTCGTAATTAAAACGTAGTTTTGGATTCGTTTCGATGTCTAGCAGGAAATACCTTCCTCCTTCTCCCATCCTAGATTCGTCTCACGCCGAAATGGACTGCAGATTCTGAGCGAAGCCTGCTGGAGGACTCTGACCCGTTGGATTGCTCGGTGTACACGCTGCCTCGGAAGAAGAAGGATGGCAACAAGATCCCTGGACAGGCACCGCCTCTGCATCACTCCGACTCCCTGGAAACCCCACCGCCCACCAATCACCGCCGCAATTTCTCTCAGAACATCCTCTCCAAGCTCACCTCGTGGCAGGTACTTGTTAGCTTGCATTTGAAGTGATATGGCTTACTACAACAATCGGAAACAGCCACATTGGCAAGTGTTTGTGTTTAGTCGTCGCTGGTGCCGCGGTCATTGCGTGGCGGGAAGTCGAAGGGGACGGCACTACAGTCGCTTCGCTCCCCGCCCACCCCCCTGGCCGCCGAGTCCTTTCCGCGCCACCTGTCTCCTCTCTCCACCGACCTCTGGCGTCTGGTGCCGCCCCACCCCCCTCCCTACACCGCCACCAGCTTCCTCCGTGGGGACCCCGTGCGTCAGGCCACCCGCATCCACAGGGGCTACTCTGTGACGCCGCCGTGGGAATTGCAACCGGACTGCCGCAACGAAGTCCTCCGCGTCTACGCTCTTACCTACATCCCCGCCGGCTTTTGGACGCGTCTCATCACCCGCCTTCTCACCGACAGCCATCTGAACTCGGTTTGTGGGTGAGTACACACGACCTTTTCCTCGCAACGACACAATAGGCGTTCGTGGTTCCGTCGCTTGTGGTCCTCTTAACTGGGGGGAGGGGGGTCCCGATGTGGTTGCTCAGTTATTTTCACTCAAACGAGCAAGCCGTCACTTGACGCTGTCAACCTAACTTCGGGTTTATGTGTGGTTGAGTGCTTGTTCGTCATTTCTGCTTCAGAAACCTCTACAACCTGTCGAGTATCCAACCCGAGCTTGCAGCCAGCCTGCTGACAATGGAACCGTCCAGTGCCCAGTCGGCGGGGTACACCGAAAGCAGTGACGGTGGATGTGAACTCTTTCCCGGCTGGTCTCTGTCTCGCACAGGACTTCAGATGACATTGGCTGGAGGCAGTATCCCCGTCTTTACCCTGGAGCAAGTCGGCGAATCGGCCTCATCTGTGATCGCGGTAAGAAATTCATCTTCCGATTTCATCAGTGCTGCCCCCTTTTTTCCTCTCTTTGCTCTGCTAGCGTCTCGTCGGGGTCGTAATCATCACCCCTCCTCATTCGTCGTCGTTGGCGTCGTTACTCCACCACTTTGTTACTTTCCTGTTTGCGTTGTTTAGATGAGTAGCTGCGAGATCGGGGCATCGTCGAAGCACTCAATCGCTGAGTTGGGCGCCGAGGCGAACGAGTTGACGAGGGTTAAGGAGCCTTGCGAAGGTGCTCTGACGCTTTGCGATCGCGACTTCAAGGCGTGGGACCTTCGTCTACTGCGACTCTCGACTGGCGCCGCTGAGGCATTTCGTGAGTGCTCGCGAGGGCAGGACTCAAGGCGGGTCGCAAACTCCTCCGGTCTCCTTGAAGAGCCCTTCGGTAAGCACTGTCGCCTCGTTTTCCAACCGCTCACATTCCCGTGGTGCTGTTGTCTAATCAAAATTGCCCATTACCAAGTTGTATGACTTGATTTGTACAGAAATTTCCGCAAATTTATGCCATAAAAAGCAGAGAACGACGAACTTTGTCTTGGAAATATTGTCCATCGTTTTCCATGACCTCAAGTAATGCCACAAAAGAAGTTTGCAGACTCCGAGGCAATGGAGACATCATCGGCCGATTTAAACACGTTGTCCAGCATTTTGAACTGTTTATCCACTAAGGCGTGCTGCTGCCGTTGCATCGACCGCAACAAATGGTAGTGGGAAGGGGCCAAGTCTAGTGAATATGCACCGTGTATGTGAAACTTCCCATC